CTCCACCTGCCTTCCTGCCCTTTCCAGGGGTCCTCCTAACTCCTGGCCAGCCGGTGCCCCCTGCCCCAGCTCCAGGAAGCAGCTGAGACAGATGGGGGGGCAGGCCCGGACTCATGAGGAGGGGCCTCTCTGCCCTGTGGGGACCTCTCCTCTGGAACCTGTGAGGAGTTGTTCTGCTTCCCCCCAATCTCCAGGACCAGGTTTTGCACCAAGGCACATGCACCTACTACTGAGCACAGATAGCCCTAATCTCACCCCTTGCCCAGGACTCTCAACCACACTTAGTCTCAGGCACCAGGTACCCTGTCTGGAATCCACTAGCTGATCGATTCTCTGTTCCATCCCAGACGTGGAGGAACCAAACGACAGCCCCTCGCTCGCCATCCTCCACCCCGAGGAACCAGGAGGAGCAGACTGGTCGGGGCAGCACTGATCACAATGTAAATTATTAGGTTCGGGTCAGATTTCTTTTGTAATAAACTATTTTTGTACCATATCCCTTGCTTTGGATCTGTCATACCCAGGCGTGGCAGAAGTGTGCTTGTGGGTGCTCACCTGTGCACTGAGTGACTTTGTGTTGCAAAGCTGGCTTTGGTGTTGGCTTTGGCGGTAAAATGAGTTACTGAGACATTGTGACATTTTCGGGGTGGGGGAGGAATACTGTAGGGTTCCAGAATGTCCTGGCTGTGGGGGTTTCTGAGGGTCTCTGAAATTTGTAGATCACTGTGGGAACCTCAACTGACTGGTGATTGTTTTTTGTTTTTTTGTTTTGTGGTTGTGAGCCTAGCCTTTAATGGCTGAGCCAACGCTCCAGTCCTGGTGTTTGGGCTTTAAAGAAACATTTACATGTATGTAAATATATGTGTATATAATTAATGTATATGATATGTAATTATGTGTTATATGATTATAATATACATTTATAATATATTTACGTTATATTGTAATGTAATGCATACTTATATATTATAATATATGATATTTAAAGTATGTCATATATTATAATAGATAACGTATATAATATGTAGTAAGTCTTTTTCTGTTCCACCAGCCAGCACCCAAATAATGACATGGAGACTCCTTAATTAGTTATGAAGGCTCCACCCATAGCTTTTATAACTTAAATTAACCCATTTATATTAATCCACATTCTATCACGTGACAACACGTCTCTTCCATCTTACACTTCCTGTTTCCTCTCCGTGTCTGGATTCCTCCTCCTCCTCTTCCTTTTTCTCCCCAGAAATCCCGCCTCTACCTCCTGCCCAGCGACTGGCCATTCAATCTACACAGTGTGCAAACATTCCCCCTTTCTGTCTAAATAAAAAGGAAAGGTTTTAATTCTAACATCGTAAAGCTATATACAATAAGAACAGTTAACAAGTAAGAATTACATTCACAATGTTTAGTGCATATGTTTTTGGCAAATTCAGAGAAAGCACTGTATTTTCTATCTATCCTATCTTAGTGAGTCCAACATTTTATATCAAAATCGTTTTCTACCATAACTTGTGTTATCATCCTAAAATATCTTTTTAGGTATACAACTTAAGCTTTTATGTTTCTCATGAAACTTAGAAACTTTGTATCTTTTTAAAAAAATTTTATTTATTTATTATGTATCCAACATTCTGCTTCCATGTCTATCTGCACACCAGAAGAGGGCGCCAGATCTCATGACAGATGGTTGTGAGCCACCACGTGATTGCTGAGAATTGAACTCAGGTGCTCTTAACCTCTGAGCCTAGAGTATCTGACAGGCTTTTCTGTGAAGCAGGAATTTTGAAGGAGTGTCCTACCTTGTTTTGACAAAGTTCAGAAGTTGCCATCTTTTGTGCCCTGCTTGTCCAGTTCGTAGAGCATACTGTCAGCAACCAAGGGAAGGGAGTTTCTTTGCCCAGTAGCTACTTTGCCACAAATGAAAGCAAGCTACATATGGAGTTATTTTGAAGCCTGTCATCTTTTGAAATAAAATTGGTGCTTCCAGGAGCAGACATGTCTCACTGTCATGAAAAGCCTTTTTATTAAAACATTTTTTATGAGCTAGTTGCAGGACAGCCTCCAAAGCCACAGAGAAACCCTGTCTCAAAAAAAACAAAAAAAAAAAAAAAAAAAAAAAACCTTATTTTATGGTTTTTCAAGACATGGTTTCTCTGTGTAACAGTACTGACTGTCCTAGAACTCACTCTGTAGACCAGACTGGCCTGGAACTCACCAAGATCCACCTGCCTCTGCCTCCCGAGTGCTGGGATTAAATGCATGTGCCACCACCGCCCAGCAAAAACACACAAACTTTTAAATGTAACATTTATATCTGTATTGACATAAGTATGGAATGTGCGATGTGCACGAACCAGCTAAAGATGATTTTCTGTTCTATGTTTGAGAAGATCAAAGGCATCTGTCAACTTTACAAGTCTGTTTGGACTGCATAACCAATCCTCTCTCTATGCCTTGCAAAAGGATGGCATAGATCTGCCTCCCGAGTGCTGGGATTAAAGGTGTGTGCCACCAACGCCCGGCTTCTTTCATTTCTTTAACCTCTGAACACATGTAACAGTAAGTCATGAGGACTCTGTAGCCAACAAAATTTATCGCGTCTCATCCAGTCTCAGAACTGCTGCCATTCAGAGGGATCAGCATATACGTCATCTGTCTTTAGTCTTTCCTGTCTTTCTCCCTCATGTCTGTAGCCAAGATCTTCAAGAGGTCCTCCCCAGTCAAATCTGACCTTTACTAACTTTGAAGGAAACCAAGGAAACTTTGTTTTTAGTGGAAACAAAGGAATAGCCTCTCTCCCAATGCAAAGTATTTCTCAGCTTCCATTCTGGAGCTAAGACGTCTCCAAAGTATAGGCTGGTTTAATTCAGCCCTTCTTATAGTGCCGTGTCTCTCAGCGGCTGCAGTTCACTCATCAGCAAGGAAAACCTTCAAAGTCAGCAAGACACCATGCAGGACGCAGAGTCCTGTGTATTCCCATCCTTATGTGGCTTTTTCCTTTTATATTACATTAGTCTCTCTTTAAAGTTTTTGCTGTTTTTAAACTGCTTATTTTTATGACTGTCTATACCCATTTTCTTTCATTTCTTTCTTTCTTTTTTTTTTTTTTTTGGTTTTTGTTTCTCTGTGTAGCTTTGGAGCCTATCATGGAACTCGCTCTAGGAGACCAGGCTGGCCTCGAACTCACAGAGATCTGCCTGCCTCCGCCTCCCGAGTGTTGGGATTAAAGGTGTGCGCCACCAACGCCCGCCCAGCTTCTTTCCTTTCTTTAACATCTAAACACATTTTGAAGCACATTGTATCTGTTCAGAGGTTTTTCTCAGTCGACCTAACCTTCTAAGCACCTACAGATGAAAACCTGTAGTGTGAGCCAAGCCTTAAACTGCTAGCTGGCAGCTAGCCCCTCCACCATGCAGCTCTGCTTAGCATGTGGCCAGGCAGCCAGCTCTGCCTGGTGAGAGCAATGCCTCACGCCTGTGGACTGGCCTGGAGCTGGTCTATCTGCCCCAGCTCTACTTAGTTTCCCGCCACCAA